CCTTACAGATGATGTATTATCAATGATGAGGGTATCAGATATTAACTTGACATATTCCTTATCTTTATAGTGAGATATTAACTCACTCCTCACTTGCTCCTTCTTTCTCTCTGTTAGCAAGTCTCCATGAGTGCCAATGCAAAACATGCGAGGATAATCAGGAATACTTCCATCTGCCCCATACTTCATTAGGTGACTGTGAACACAGGCCATCCAATTGAGCATGTATGTAAGTGTAGACATATTGACCTCTTCTCCATCATATCGAATACCATCAATATGATGAACTGACTGCCATTTGCTGTTGAGATCTTTAGAGGCATCAAAGAGGAGGAGGAATGTAGTACGAGAGGTGAGAAAAACTGGTAGGATCTCAAGGAAAGCAGGTTGACCCCCACAATCCCAGAAATGCATCAATAGATGAGGCTCTAACTGGCCCAATGTAAGATAAAATCGAAGTGCGGCTGTGCTAATTTGCCTAAGGACAGAATCTAACTTAATGCTTGCAGTGTCATTGGTTGATGGAGTAATGACATCATCAGTAGGATCAACGAGAACTGAGCGATACATTTCACCTTTACTGACAGAAGAGAACAAGTGTGCCATTGCTTCAATTTCAGCTTCATGAGTAATTGCTTCCCACTGCTCACTAAGCAATCCCTTAGCAAAGGGACGAACACAGCTGACATCAGATATGATGGTGCTGTTAGCCTTAGGATCCCATGGTAACTTCATAAGAGAATTCTTGAAACTACTCTTCCCAACACCTGCTGTACCCAGAAGAAGAACACGTGAATAAGCAACATTCACCACCTCTCCTTCTGATAGAGCTCTTCTGTATGCAGCATCTTGTAAAAAAACAACTAGACCCTTAGCTTAGTAATAATAGACTCACCTCTCTAAAACACATGAAAAAGTAATAACAAATGTTTAACACTAAATGCTTACTTCCTGTCATGTTGCAAATATGATTTTTTAACAGAAAATAAAATTAAAAGAAATAATGACAAAATTGTGAATAAACTAGCACTTACTGCCTTTTTGTTGTAAATTAAAGTTTTGAGATTAAAAAATGAGAGGGCAATAGATACACATTTAAACAGCATCTCAAATTAAAATAGATTATAGTACTTACTCGCTATTGTGTTGCAAAGAAAAGTTTGTGTATCACAGATGAACGAAACAATTTAAAAATAGAAAAAACAATAGATATACATGTAAAAAGCATCTCAATTTAAAATAGATGATAGTACTTACTCGCTATTGTGTTGCAAAGAAGAGTTTGTGTATCACAGA